CTTCTCGGGGCTGAGCGCCAGCTGGGACGACCGCCGCTGGGGACTGGTGACGGAGGAGGACCCCGCGATGAGCCCCAGCGGGATCTTCTGCCGGCGCTGTGTGGGACGAGCTACGCCGCTCGTAAGCGGAGAGGCTGGCCTGGAGTGACCCGCTGCCAGCATCCTTCGCTGGGGCACCCTCTTGTCTTGCGACTGAACGCCGAGCGCCGGTGCAGCAGGTTCAGAGCAGCAAATGGCCGTGCCCCTAAAGTGGAAATACGGTTGTAAGTTGTGCTACCTTTTGCTCCTCCTCTACTGACTGTAGTAACTAGGTTCAGCACGGGCTGACCTGGCTCCAGTGGGTGGTAAGTGCTGCTGAGGGTCCCTGTTGCACGTAAAGGGTGATGTTCTGGCCAGCGTGAAGCTTGTGAGCAGGCCATCATTGCCATTAAAAATCAAAAGCTGAGGAAAAGCAGTACCTGCTGAAGCTCCTGAGATAAAATTACCAAAAACCATGTAGGAAAAGCCTTCCTGAACTTACTTCTATTACGCACCTCTTGGTATTAACAGACTGTCTGCTTGGTACCTGGAAGCAGATCTGCTTGGTATCTGCTTGGACCTGCAAGCAGCCAGACTGGACGTGCTGTGGGACATGTGTCTCACCACTTGGGTTCACCTCCTGCCCCAGGCAGGGTTACTTCCTCCAGCACAGCTGTTAAGGGAACTGCAAGCCCTGAGAAGTAAAGATAGTACTGTGCTCTCCCGGCCAAAGCCACAGTGGGCCCACTACTGGGTGGGTGTGCAAAAGTACGTGTGAGAAAGCTTTGCAACTATGAAGAAGGTCTGCTCTGTGACCGACCTTCTCTCTTTTTATCTGCACATGCACCGACAAGCTGAGCATGCTGGCCCCCCTGCAGTCGTAGAGGCCAAGTTGTCTCCTCCTAGGATTTAGGGCACTTCTGATTCAACCATATACCTCACCACATGTGTCTCACTGGAACTGTCTGCCTGAGCTTGAGTTAGACAGAGCTTAACCCGACTTTGCGGGAGGGTGCCTTACCAATTTGCTTGTGCTTGGAACCAGTTTGTCAACTGGATTTAGAGGTGGCCAGCTGTGACACTGCCACGAAGCCAGATCAAGCTTCTGGAGTGGGTATCCCTTTCCCCTTGAGAGCATGAAGTTCAAAAGCTGTGGACTGGCGTGAATCTACTGCAAGGAGAGAGTGAGAGCATTAAGAAGCCCCTGAGAGACTGAGCAGCAGAAGTTATACTTGTGAAAAAGGGTAGTTCACTGCTTTGGTGGGACACGAAGGGAGTTTTCCTTAGCAGCCATTGACTCCAGCAAAACCGGAGGTGAAATGTGTTAATGATATCTCATTATCTGCTGATTACTCTGTCATTAAAACATGAGACCGCCTGTAGTTCTAGTATTGGCACGCTGTTTCCTGGGGTCATGAGGATACTGGTGGTAGCCACACTGTCTGGGAATGGCAGTGTCTGCCTTATTTGCAATGCTGTTGAGTTTATCCTTATGAATATTTACACCAACTACTTGGGAAAAAATATTCTTTTCCCTGCATCATCACGGAAGGGTTTTTTTTGTTTGTCTTTACCTTGATTCTTTACGGGAATTCTTTTCTTGCCTCTCTAGATTACAGGTATACCTTTCTTCTTTTTGTTACGTTGCCTAAAGCTTCTGTCATGAAACAAATATGTGCATCAGTACCTGAAAGAGAGAAACTGCTATTTTAAGGAGTGAACTTACAATACTTCAGAGGGCTTTCTCGTCATTGCTCCAAATTACAGTTAAAGCTGCAGCCAATACTGTGCCCCATCACTCTTTTTTTAATAGGAAAAAAGAAAGATTTTGAAAACAGTTATTCTGAAATAAAGTGTGCTGGAATCCTTTGGGTATATTCCAGTTACTAAGTAATGTGGTCTGGTAGTGCTTTCCTTTTTATGAACATTGGTGTGTATTGGTAAATTTAAAGCCAGAATCCAGGGATTAACAGCAGAATACTTGTGGTTGTAGCTGGTTAGTATTTTATGATGCGTTGTTCCTGATAGGGGGCCAATTTATTTAAATAGCTACCTTTCCCCTTATATGCACTTCATCAGAGCAAGGAGTCTGTCTTCTCTCAGCTCTTCTTAGGTAAAAATTTGATTTTTATTTTTCATTTCTGGCAAACAGAGACTGAATGTGTGTTCTTTCAATAGTTGTAGCTAGTGCAGTTTATCTGAGGCAAGTTCTGCTTACAGTCTTAAGCTGAATTTGAGAGGGTCAGTAATGCAGGTGGGTAAAAGCTCAAGAGAATGACTGTTAAAAATGTGCCTAGCATTTCTGCGTGCGTTGCCATAGATGCACAGGTCACTTTACGTGGTGAGTAAAGGCACAGTCTTTGCCTCAATTAGGTATAAATGAACATGACAAGATATGACACCAGGACAGATAAGAGAGAGGGAGAAAGCCATATAGGGAGGGTTAGAGGGCTGTCTGCTTGGGTGAAATACTGCATGCAGCATACTCTGGCTTCTGTAGCAAGCAAAAAAAAAAAAAATAAGATAATATTGTGGATTGAGAAATGGAGCAATCCTGGGCTGATGGAAGTTTTCACTGCCACCTGTGGACAAGCAGCTGTCTGATTACAGGACAGATGTTGGGATATGGGATTAGCATGCTCTTATTTCAGCTACTGGTCTGTGATACATCACTTTACTGTCTCTTTCTTCAAGGTTTTTTGTTCATTGCCTAGACCCTTCCTCAGCTCCTGAGGAAAAACCCTCAATGTGCACCATGTTTTTCCAGGATTTCTGCAACGTTTGACACTGTTGACTACTCCTTCTGGGGAAGTGTTTTCTGGCCTAATGTGCCCCCATTCCATCTCACAGCAGGCAGTGGAGTTTGTCCCCTGGGCAGCCTTGGCTGGGAAGGGAGGCTTTCCCAGTCTCACAGCAGGGAGGAATGTGGCTGGATCCCATAGGTCTCACTGTGTTTTCTCTGTGATAGTGTCAGTTTGAGCAGCTCCTTTTCCCTCGTTCCCATGCTGACTGGGGAAAAGCCTTCCTCTTTTTTTGGCTGCGCTAATACCCTGAATCAGTTCACAGCCAGCTGTTTCTCACCTGGGGAGGTGAGGTGGGGGAGAAGGCATTCTGTGCGTTCAGAAATACCTTGATCTGGGACTACGTAGTGGGAGGTTGTACCTGAGGCACAGAGGAGGTGTGGTATAGCTAGTGTGCTGCTGCCTCAGATTTTGGTGTGGCAGCAAACTGGGAGTCCTGTGTTCTCATGCAGGACTGCTGCTTTCTTCCTTAGGCTGAGCCTCCATTTTTTCCCCTTGCTCCTAGTTTTTCCCATCGTGCATTGAATACTACCCATAAATTGGAGAGTGCAGACAGAAATATGCATCTTGATCTGTACGTGAACCTGACTTTTGTTGTTACACTGCTGAAAGTTAAATTTCTGGAGCTGTACAACCCAGCTCTTTTAAGCCTTCAGGACACTACTTTGACTATAAATTATGCTGGTTTTAAAGCACCCCTCTCTGATGTATCAGCTGTGTAGAAAGATCCTACTGCAAAGGAAATTTGGGTTGTAGCACCTTTATCTACTGCATGCTGTCAGGGAAGTGAGGTGAGAGAGAAGCCTTGCCAGTGACAGCAGATACTGCAATACTGAACAAGCCTCTGCGCTGCTCCTGTGCTGTCTTGCTGCCACCTAGAACATTGTTTAGCAGTTCCCTTTTTATGGCCTTAGGGAGAGAATATACCCTTGCTTTTCCCTCTCTGAAGGTGCAGTGAAACGTGTGAGCTCCAGGAGGTGCACAGGGATGTGAGAGTGCCAGAAGGTACAGCAGAGGAAGCACAGACCTGCTTAGGCACATCAAAGACTGTCTCATCCCCTCTCACACAAAGCAGTACCAGGCTGTTTGCAGGGGTCTCCACCTCCTGAAGGAAAAGGAGATGCCAAAGGAGCCTGAGGCACTAACATGTCCTGATCAGCTGTAATGCTCCCTTTTGGAGGGAAAGTGAGCTTTGTGAGCTCCTGTTGTAGCGCCACCTGTCAATAATATGCAACTGCTGGTGCCCAGAAACTGGCTCTGTAGGGTCTGGGGAGGTTTTTCATCAGTGGTGGGTAACTGAGGCCTGTTCTCCGGTCTCTCACCCTGATTCTAAGCCATTCTGAGAAAGGAGGTCTAAATGGCACTTGGGGTCGGTTGCCAAGTTCATAACTGCTCCTGTTGGTGTAGAAGTGCCAGCAAGAGTGTCCAACCACTCTGCTTTGTAAGGTCTCAGTCTTTAGGACTGTGTGAGGAGGCTTTGCTGTGTCTCAGCTTGCTTTCTTCTGCCTGTGCTGCAGGCTCTTTAAAGAAAGACTTTATTTACTCTGTGCCTGATGGCCTGTATGACTTCCTCAGTGGTACCACTATTAGCTAGCCATTTTACTCTGCTTTCAGTATCCGATTGTGGAAGCTGGGGGGATTTGCAGAGCAGAAAAGTGAGAGTGCAATGCCAAACACCTTTGTAGCGGGGCTGTGTGCAGTAGTCCAGAGCAGTGCTGATGATTCACATTAAAGCCTGGTACCATCCGTCTCGGCTTGAGCCTTCTAGCTGGGTTTATTCAGGGGCTGAGTTGAAGTTTTTAAGCTGCCTGGTGACTACTTGTTCCTTATGATTCCTTGCTGTCATGGCTGTTCTTGTGCACTGCCACATACATGATCAGAGTTCTGTGAAGTGAAGAAGTGTTGAACTCCCAACCTTGTGCATGTCTCAGATGCCTCTTCTGTCTTTTTCCTTGCTTGTAGATAAAAGCAGCACTTCTGGCCCTTCCTCCTTGCAGGCTGACAGCTACTTTCAGTTCATTTCTCACCACAGTGGTGTGTCCTTCCTTTTTTCAGTCCTGAGTAATGACAGGAGGGAACCCTGTCTCATTTTCCTTCCTGTTTTACCTTCTGTATTCTTTTTCCTGTGTTCTTCCTGGGTCTGTGACAGATTCATGCTCACATGCTTTTGCCTTCTATCTTCTTTACCTCTCAGTGCTGCATCATGTTTGTTCTCCCTTCTTCCCATGGCCTTTAGGAGAGTTTTTATGGTCTGTAGTTCAGGAGTGCATTCCAGGACTGTCCTATAAGACCCAGAGTTGGCGTATGGTGTTACCAAGGTCTGAAGTACCCTTCAGACTCTGTGTGCTGTGCAAGTGTCTGAAGAGCTCTTTTGATGATGCTTGGTTTGTTGGTGCATGTTGGTAAGCTGGACTTGTGGTAGCACTTTGCTGAAGTGCTGCCTGATATGTGGCCTGGGTTTGACATAGAGAGCTGCTGGAGAAGGTTGTCCAGGATGAACCATTGCAGAGCAGTCTTTAAGACTAACCTTTCTGACCCTGGGTCTTTAGTATCAGAAATGTATAGGCAACGTGCTTCCAATAAATTCCTCCAAGCAGCCTGCATTTGGAAGGCTGCTTAGATCAGCACACATGCACGCTTAGAGTTATCTGCTGGCTGAAGGCTGACCAGATGTCTGAGTGCATCTGGCAGCGTGTCCTCTTACTTAGACATGTAAAAGCTACCTCTTCCTGTCTGCGCAGACAGAAACTGTTTGTGTGCATTGCTTCAGTAAGGACCACTGCACGAGTGTGGTGCAGGCTGTAGTTGATGGATGTCATGCCTGCAGCTGGTGTAAAGTGACTTGACAGGATCCAAGCAGTTTCTACTTTGTCCCTTTTGCTCTCCTGTCCCATGGGATTGCTTAGGGCTTGAGCACAGCCGTGCCCTCTGGTATTCCTGGGGATGCTGTGAGGCACATTTTGCAGTGGAAAAAGCTGAAAAGTCTGATTCTGATTTCCTGATAGCTGTGGTGTTTGAGAGATTTTAAAAGCTAACCTAGAGTAATAAGCATTTTCCTCCTCTGTACTTAGAAGTGTGTGCCCTGGAACCACAGGCCAAATTTGGCCTGCGGAATTTCTTCTCTATTTTCCAAGGCATAGCATGTGCTTCTCTGCTCCTTAAGAAAGAGAACTGGGCTGTGAGGGGTCTTGAATGTGTGTGTCTCTGCAATGTGCTACATCCCTGTACATCTGGATTTCTACCTGCTCCAGAAAGTCTGCCTGCCAGCTGTGTTTTGTGTTATTCGTTTGTTTGGTGTCTTGCTCACGGTGGAAAGATCTCCTGAGATGCTGCAGCACCCTCTGACTAAGTGGCACAGCAGTTTCTTTGATGAAAGGTGCCTTGCTGTGCTGAAGTGAGAGATGAAGGTGATTGAAACTCTGCTGTATTGCTCTGCTTCAGCAAAGTCATGCCAGCTTTTGATTCAATAAAAGGTTGAAGCGTCTTGTCTGGAACGTGGCCTCCGTGGGCTGTGCTCTGCTGCTGGTTTTAGCAGATACCCGGGTGGTGAGCTGGTGTGGTGTTACTGTTGAGAAGACCCAGTGTTGCCTTTCAGAAGGAGAAAGCCAGGGTCAATCTTCTTGTATTTTTTTAGTTAATCAAAATTGAATTTTGACCTCAAGACCTGAGAAAAAGAGTGGTCAAAGAGGACTCTATGTGAGCAAAGCTGCTTTAAGAAGAGTCCGTGCTGGCAAGGTGCTGAACCAGGTGACCTGCTGACTTAGCACCATGTTTTCCCTAAGCCCTGTACTGCAGTGGCCTGGCATGAATGTCTGTACTTACTCAGCTGTGTCTCCCTCTCCCCCAGCAAAGCGAGCTGAACTCCTTCCTGTGGACCATCAAGAGAGATCCCCCTTCTTACTTTTTTGGCACTATCCATGTCCCGTACACTCGTGTCTGGGATTTCATCCCAGAGAACTCCAAGAAGGCCTTCCAGCAGAGCCACATTGTGTACTTCGAGCTGGACCTCACTGACCCCTACACCATCTCAGCTCTCACCAGCTGCCAGCTCCTGCCACAGGGGAAGAACCTCCAGGACGTGCTGCCCCGTGACATCTACCGCCGGCTCAAACGGCACCTGGAGTATGTCAAGCTCATGATGCCATCCTGGATGACCCCAGACCAGCGGGGCAAAGGGCTGTATGCAGACTACCTCTTCAATGCCATTGCTGGCAACTGGGAACGGAAGAGGCCAGTGTGGGTGATGCTGATGGTCAACTCTCTGACAGAGGTAGACATCAAGTCACGAGGCGTGCCTGTCCTGGATCTGTACCTGGCCCAGGAAGCAGAGCGGCTGAGGAAGCAAACAGGTGCTGTGGAGAAAGTGGAGGAGCAGTGCCACCCGCTCAATGGGCTGAATTTCTCCCAGGTGAGACAGAGTGGTGTTGCAGGGTGCCAGGCTGACTGCTCAGGTGAATATCCCAGCAGCAAGAGCATGGGCTGGAGCATGGGGTAAATGCTCTCTACCCAGAAATTTGTATTTGCTCCCTGCAGCCCGTGCCTCTGCCTGCGCCCTCAGGAGAGTTTGCTACATGGATGTCTTCAGGCCACATTTTAAACTCATTTAGACCTAGCCTGGGGAGTCCCCTCTCTTTCTGAGGCAGGCTTGGGCAGACTGCAGTGTAAGAGGCACTAGACCTTTGGTTGTCAGCTCTCTGACCCTGGCTCAGATGCCCTGCAGGAGCCCAGGGCAGGCTGGGGCTTGGTGTCTGAACTTGCTTTTGTAACAGCTAGTTAAGAAGAAAGGTGCAATCTCTTGAGAGAAGCAGGGTTGCTGTGAGTGAAGCTGGGAAGTAACCACTAGTTGAAGAAGTATCCCAGTGGACCTCTCAATCCCCTCAGAAGTAGACGCCTGTCCTCTGCATTGGGAAAAGTGGTTTTTGGTTTTAGGGGGGGTTTTTTTGTTTTTTGTTTTTTTTTTTTTTCCTTCCTTTGGGACTAGTTCAGCACAGCACAGCTTCCTGCAAGGAGCTCCACAGGCTACTGCAGGTCCTTGTGCAAGTGCTTTTGTGTTTGGAAACCAGGTGGAGTTTGTCACTGTTGTTCATGCAGTGTCAGACCAGACACATTGTCTATGTGTTGGATGGGACGGTCATGGGCTCTCCTCTCTAAAGTAAATACAGCAGAGAGCAGCATCTGTCACTGTCCCTGCCTGCCTGCCTGCCTAGTGGGATCACAAGCAAGCATAAGGTTGCTCTCTAGCCTAGGACACGTTTGCTGCAGGGAGGTGCTCGTTTGTGGAGATGAAGTGGTGTTTGCTTTGGAACAGGTGAGACCTGCTGTTGTGGCATGCCCTGATAGTCCAAGGCGGGGGGACCTTTGCTCATGGAGCTGGGGAGTTTCAACCGATGCCTGACCCTTTCCCCTACATTGTGAGGCCTGTCCCATTACTGATGCAGTTTCCCATGCTGGAAGGGACGGAGCAGAAGGGGAGGTGCAACTCAGCAAGAGCAGGGACAGCAGTTCCAGGCAGATGTCAGAAGTGCTGCTCCCCGGCCAGTCTTTCCAGGGAGACCATGGTGCAGGGAATAGCATAGCAGCCCAGGATGCATTGTTTGGGCAGTTCTTAACTGCAGGCAGGGCATCTGCACTCCTCTCTTCATGTTCTTAACTGCAGGCAGGGCATCTGCACTCCTCTCTTCACTTGTTTGGAGCTGAGCAGCCTCATTCACACCTCCAGTCTTTTGCTTAACTGTATTTTAAATCCTCATGCTGTTGCTCTTTGCTCACAGCCACCATAGGAATGGGCTGGGAAGTTCCATCTCCTCCGCCTCTTATCTGGTTGAGGCTTTATTAATGTTATTGCCTGTGTTTTTCTTTTGCTGACATTGCCTCTCTGGTTTAGCGTGACAGAATGTTGGGGGGGAGGAAAGCTGGGGGCAGATGTCTACTTTCTGCACTACCTTGTAAGACAGTGGTGTGGAGGCTGAAAAATACAGGTTGCAACTCATGTCTCTGTTAAGTTTATGCAACTGTTAACACTTCCTTTAGGCCTTCATGCAGCTTTCTTCAAAGAGCAGCTGTTGCTGTGCTGTTTTGCAGGTGGAATAAATACCATATGAGCTGGGAAGCTGCACGGAGTGGGAACTGCAATATTCAGAGTTGCCCAGCCTGCTGACATTTATTGTCAGATGGCAGCTGAAGGGGTCAGGGTAACCAGAACTGCGGAAGAACATTGGCTCTAGTTAGGAAAATGACAGCCCATGATTACCCCACGGTGGGTGGAGGTATGTATGTGCACGATGTGAGCTCCCTGCTCACTCCCGGGGGAAGGATCACACGCTGTCCCTTGTGGGAGCAGGTCTGGAGCAGCTACTGCTCTGCAAATTCACACCTTCACGTCTGCCTACTACTAGATTTCCAGTAAGGGCACCTCAAGGAATATGAGAACCAGAGGCAGATGGTTTTTATGTTTCTAAGCCAATTTCATGGCTGTTTCAGAACCTGGCTTGTGAACTCTCATGGTTGGCAATTCTGTAAATCTTTGATTTTGAAGCTTTCTTCTCAGTTTGTTCAGGCAGTTGAGTTAATTATGTGTTTAATATAAACCAGACAAAGACTTTGAAATAGGCTCGTTGAGAATTATTTCATTTGGTATTCTGCTCTTGACTGGGAACCCCCAGCATCAGAGCACTTCTGTGTATGCCTTTCAAGTGAGCTAACAAACAGGGAGGACTTCTGCCGGGGAAAATGGGGACACAGAACCATAAGCAATGGTCTAATCCTGTGCAAGAAATGCTTTGCTTTTTTGTTGCAACAAAGTTGCGGAGAGATTATTTCTGTGACAGAGTTCAGTGCACTTAGTTTATGTTTCTGTGTGGGAATTTGCTCTTTCTTTTCCTTAGGACATGGTTGTACTGCCTAGTGAGGAGGACTCCCAGGCCACTTACAAGCAATACATTATTATTAGCTAGGTCCCTCTTTTGATCCATGGCACAAGGCCTGATTGGTGTGAGTATGTTATTGCAGGTGAAGGTCTGTAATGGTTTATTGTTGATTGCCTCCATAGGGTTGCACAATGCTCTGTAGCTGCAAAGTGCAGACAAACTCAAGCTGGAGAATTCCTTCTTCTCCTTGTGAGGAGAGAGAGGAAAAAAAATTAAAATAAACAAAAAACCCCACACAAACAACAACTAACACTTCTGTCATGGGGCTCTTTTTCTTTGGCTATATTTGTTCCAGTTTCCTCTTTATCTTTTGGTTTATGACTCTTATTTTACCTGCCAAATCCCTCTGTTCTTGCTCAACTCGGGCTGATTGCCCACACAGCCAGGCCATAAAAGTATATGGTACACAATGACGTGAACAGAATCTGTGAAATACTTTACTGGCTCCTCAATCCCTCTCTCTTGTTCCAAGTTCTATGCAACTTTAGGGGGTATGGAAAGATTAGTCTGTTTCTACACCAGGGCCATGATGTTCATTTTCCTGTTTCATGTTGTTTCTATCCTAGTTTGTCTTAAAGAATTTTTTCTCCCACTCCAGCTTCTTTCATGGGTTGTGCCTCTCTTGTTGCTATAATGCCCTATAAGGATGCCAGCCTCGTTCCCAGAAGTGTCTGGGCTTCTAGAAGATAAAAGGCTTTGTAGGTTTACACAATCTGCCGCTGCTGACTTACAGCACTGAAGTCAGTCCCTCAGAACTCTCAGCTGTTCCTGTCAAGTTATGCATGTGCTTACGTGTTTGTTGGATTGGAAGCATTAGCACTCCTGCCTAAAGCCTGTTCAGCTTTGCTGTTGGTTCCAGCTGTAGTGTGGTGACCACCAGTTTGATATTGGCTCAGAAAATGAGCTGGCCTTGGTCTGTACTATGCATGCACTTGTAAACAGGTTTGCTTTGGGTCCAGGCTGTGTTTCTCACAGACCAGTTAGAGCTTGAACACAAGAAGTTTGGACTTGTGTCTGCCCTCTGCATGGGACTGAGGCTTAAGCATGTAAACACTGTCCACACATTGCCACTTCCTAGCCAAGACCCTGACCAGGTTGGCCTCTCCCAGCTTGGGACACTTGGAAGACTCCACTTGTTAGCTGTTCTTAACTTGAGAATTGTTTCCCCCACGTGGCTTTTCTGTGTCCAGACCTTGACACAGTTCTCTGTTGCTACCTAAGCATCTGAATACATGGCTACATCTTCAGAAGTGGTCTTCAAAGCTGCTTGAGTGACAGTTGAAAGCAAGGAGCCACTAAGGACTGGCTGCTCCTGAAATCCTGGCTGCAGCTCTGGGACTGAACACTTCAAAGTCTTGTCTTTTGCACCTTTCAGCCACTTCTTCATACAGTTAGCTGCAGATACAAAATGAAGCAAAAGCTTCTAGGATTTATCGTTTTATGTTAATTAAGACATGAATTGTTCATGTCTCTACTCAAAGAGCAGCTTCTGCAAGCAACAAAACACTGAGAGATTCCTCCTTTTCCCTAAGGGGTTCCCAGGTCTTCCAAGTTCTGGACCACTAACATGACTTTGTGAGAGCTGTAGACTCCTGCTTAGCAAATACAAGCCTCCTGAGGTAGCAGCCACATCATTTTTCCTTCTTAATCTATGTACCCACTTGGGTGAAAGGTCTACGTCTTTGGGAAAGTAGGAAGCCAAGACACCACTGCTTTGTTACGTGTGGAGGGGAGAGTTGGTTGGTTTGTTTTTTTTCTTCTTCCAAGGAAGTTACAGGAACAGCAGTGATGGCTTGAAATTGGGCCCAAAATAGTCGACAGAAAATTGGAGAGAGTTCTCCTCGTCTCCTTATTTCAAAGAAAGGGCTTTTTTGCTACATTGAGTTGATCAATTATAATGTTTATCTTTAATTTATGGGGTGATGAGGTCAGATCTGGCAGTATTTTATTTTACGAGACCCCGTTTCAGGTTCGTCTTTGACAACAGCAGTAACAGAAGACCTCAGAGAAAGGAAGAGCAAGGAGAAGCATGCAGTGGGAGCTCTGCAAGGGTTAGTTCAGTTACAAACTTGTAGCAAAGCGAAGAGCCGTTGCTTGATGAAAGAGCTGACAGAGGAGCAGAGCACTCACTGCTGAGCAAGTTGGACAGGGCATTACTTGCGGTAACCTGATTGCATCTTCTGCCCCAAGGGTATAACTTCAAGATGTATGTGTGAGGAACAGCCCTCCTTGCTCAGGTGCTGGGAACATCGGGAATTTCTGCACAGGAACTGTAGCTGAAACAACTGAATTGATCCTATTTGCATCTTTGGCTGCTGGAGTCCGTGACCTAGATTTGGTTTTGTTTTCAGTTTGTGTGTAGGCACACCTCCAGCCTCCGTGTCTAGACATCAGGGATGGGGAATGGGCTGGCTGTGGGAACCAAAATAACTAAGGCTTCGCATTTCTATTGTCATAATTAGAGTTTAATTAAGATCTTATT